GAGATACAGTTCACTTTGGCCTCGATTTTTAACATTGACATTCAACATTCAGTGACAGGAGCATCCTGATTGAGTACCTGGATTTGAAGCTACAGATGTTAACTGGGAAGGAGGGAGGGGCTCATGCTTAGAAACTCCGGAAATGTTAAGTGGACTTTTCTTCATCGTGGTCTCCCCTACTTGATGCCTACATTGTAATCGGAAGACAAGGATTTCCAGTTTTATTCCATCATTAACAAGCCTGTTCATATCAGTCTTTCCTAGAAGACTGGCTTGGCCACTCAGGGACAATATGAAAATGCCGGTTAACTTGGTAATATCTGCAAATCCCTTAATTATTCTTACTATTTCTCAGAACAGATTTAAACCATTTTGCCAAGTGGTTAAAAAGCAACAAATAGAAAAACAACATTGTGAGGCAGAGCCTGCGAGGGGTTTCTCAGTCTCATGATTCCTGTTTTATGGATACTGCATTTGCACCTCCCATTCTTTTTTTTTTTTTTAAGATTTATTTATTTATTCAAAAGTCAGAGTTACACAGAGGAAGAGACAGGGAGAGAGAGAGAGAGAGAGAGAGATTGATTTTCCATCCACTGGTTCACTCTTCCAAAGGCTACAATGGCTAGAGCTGGGCCAGGCTGAAGCCAGGAGCCCCCTCTTGGTCTCCCACCTGGGTGGCAGGGGCCCAAGGACCTGGACTATCTTCTGCTCCTCTCACAGCGCATCAGCAGGTAGCTGGATCTGAAGTGGAGCAGCCGGGTCTCAAACTGGTGCCCATATGGGATGCCGGTGTCACAGGCTGTGGTCCAATCCACCAAGCCACAGCGCCGGCTCCTGCACCTCCCATTCTTGGTGGACAGCTGCCTTCACCAGCCTCTGGCTTTGTGGCTCTCACAGGGGAGTTTGGGTTAGTGGGCATTCACAAGTAACTTTCCCAGGACACAAGGATCATGCTTCAATTATCCGAATGATGGTGCACTAGTACAGTCCACCTTTCAAGAACAGGCTATGGTGCTTCTTTCACCAGCAAACCTGACAAGGACCCAGCTTCCAAATCTCAGACTGTTAGACTTGCTCTTTCTCCTCTTGGTATGGATCCTTTGGTAAAAGAAGGTAATAAATTGCTTTGCATCTGAAGAGAAAAAAGCAAAATCTCCTCAATGCAAACTCAGCAGCATAAAGTAGTTAATCTGATCCCCACCTCTCTCCAGGTCCAGAAAGTAATGTGAGAATCTCAGAAGCCAATTGAGAAATATATTGAAACATCAATGAAGTCTATACTCTCTGACTTTTCACTCCAAAATGTCACGTCTGCAATTTCGGCTTATAAAAATAAAACTAAGTGTGAGAAAAAGTCTTCCAATGCAGTAAGGCTACTTACTGTACCTTTAATAGTGAAAAGTCACAAATAACCCAATGTAAATTCATGGGGAATAGTCAGGACAACTGTGGTATATCCACTTGGTAGGCTACTCTACAGTGATTCAAAATTATATTTGTACAGAGAATGATGTATATGCTTTGCCAAGCATAAAACAGCAGAAGACACACTCATATATTTTAATATCACAGCAGTGTCCATAATCTTCAGATAGAGACTGGACTATAAAAATCTAATAACTTCTTCTTAACAGTTTTTATGTATAGGTTGTTGGGCTTCAAGTGAGTTCTATTTTCCAAATTTTGTTTGTACACATTTATATGAAAGAAAAGCATCTTAAATTAAAATGCTGATTCCAGTAGCCAGGAGGTTAGAACAGCATCCACTCTACTCTGGACACAGTGGACCTTTAGCTGTGAGTGAATGTGTCCTCAGGGAGTTTGCAGTTCAGTCTAGGGAGAGGCTGGTCGCAGACAGGGACTGCATGGGAGAGTGCAGGGTGCCGCCCAAGCGGAGAATCAGGATGCTTAACCCAGGAGGAGCGTAGCAAGGATCTCCTGGAGGAAGTGGCGGAGGCCAGGCTGGAAGATGGAGGATTCAGCCTGTGAAGAGGGAGCTCCAAGCAGAAGCGTGGTGTATTCCAGGAATGGCAGTGACTTCAGAGTGGTGGCAGGGAGACTGGAGAGCGTGGCCCCTGATGAAGTAGGCAGCCCTGTCCACCACAGGCAGAAATGTCAACTTTTTTATCCTCAGAACAAGCAGCGACTGACAGAAAGGTTGCAAATGTCTTTGAAGTTCATCTCAACCACACTATAGAATAGATACAAGGAGTGAGAGCAGGTGTTGCAGACCCAGAAGGGCTGGTGCTGGTTTCCAGTCATCCAGGTGAGAGAAGATGATGATGGACTCAGAAATGCAGAAACAAGTCTTTTGGTCCGAATAGTATTTGGATGGCAGACTTGGGAATGTCAAATATACTAATGGCCTGACACTACAAAGAATCTTTATTTTTAAATCTCCTAATGACATGGCGAGGTCTAGCTTTTACTTTTAAATCTTTTAATTGCCTAGCAAAGATTGTGGAAATCCCAGGACAAACCATTCTTGGGTTAACTGAGGATGAGCACCCTGCAGTGACAATGTTATGTATTATTTTTAAATCATGCAGAATCCAAAATATTACGTTTTCTAAGTGAAGAGATGATGGTGATGGGAAGACGGATGAATACCATATTCAAAAAGAGAATCCAGAAGGAGCAAAACAAAATATTTGATTTGGTGACAGATCTCTTGACACCATGAGCTCAGGGGTTTAATAGGGACTCCAGGGCCTGGCACATAGCTGCCCTCGGGGAGTCCTTGTTGAATGAATGAGTGCAGCTGACTGAGTTAGAGAGTATGTTGGAGGATTCTTTGTTGACCTACTTGATGAATTATTTTTGTTTTCTGACCACTGGCTGCCCCGTATGTCCTCCACTCGCAGTTGTCCTGGTTACTGGTTACTAAAGGTTGAAATCAGGGAGAAAGTGGTCCAGAAAAGACTGCCTTTTAAGAATTGGTCATTTTAAAAATAGAATCTGTCAAACATATTTCAAAATTAGGCAAACTGGAACCTTGCCTACTTTTCCTGAAACACTAGCAAGTCAGAAATCTTTTATTCAAGTATTTGTATAAACACTATTTGGTTCAAATGTAGACTTTGTGACCAAACAGAACTCCATAAATATGCATTACCAAGAGCCAAAATTGGAAATGGCCCATACTCTCAGAAAGGGGAAGAAAATTACAGTGGGGGGAAGGGGGAGGGGAGTAGAGATTCTACTGTGTTTCATGTACTGTGTTTACCTCCTTTCACAAGTGAGAACATCAAGGACATAATCCATTGAGTCTACCCAGGGCCTAGTGCTTAATGGCAAACCATGAACTTGAACTTTAGGTTCTGTCTGACTTCAAAACTCCTGATCCATATACTTTCCCTTTCATGTGCCTTTATGTCATAAAAATAAATAAATAAAAAATTGTGCAGGTGTGTATGAATGAGCATAGTAGATAAATCCTTAGTTAGCAAGGTGCTACAAGCAAAAATCTTTGGATACCATTGACTGTGAACTTGGAGGAGAAGAAAGAGAAAGTCTACACTGACCTCTTCCTTCTCCTCCCCTGAGTCTATTGGTTTTTAAAACCTTTTTTTAATGAGCAAAGCAAGCAGTTGCCTCCCAGAGTCCTTAGCACTGGGATTGATGAGAACAGGTTTTCCCCCTCATGCTGACTTGTTTGCAAAGTCTGCCGATCTCAGTATTACAGAGAAATGCATACATTGTCTGCTTTTCCTGAGTTGTCTCCCTGCTTTTCCGTGCCACCTAGCTTTGATGTGATGTTGTTGGGACAATAGTAAGCCTTTCACAGGACTGTTGGTTGCCCTGGTACTCTGAATCTCTTTCTGTCACATTTGTCACAGTCCATGGGGATGTTCCCATCTGTCAGGCATATGGAGTTGGTGGTGCTCAGCAAATCTTTGTTCCAGTCTGGTCCCACAGAATATTTTGGAATTGTCTTGTAAATTCTCTTTCCTCTCCTGTGCCCTCATTACACTCTATTTCAGCTGTGACAGCTATGGAAATCTGCCTAAGAATCTAATTAATGATGTCTGTCTTCTCTCTTGAACTAAACTTTGAGCCTCTGGAGGCCAGAACCTAGTCTCAGTCATTTTTGTCTGCCCCTCCCCTGCCCCGCTTCGAGGGGAGCACAGCATCCTATACAGAGGCGAGGCCCGTGGCTGTTTATTGCTTGCGTCCTGTGCCAGCTTGCCATTTCTGACCATGCTGGGCGTGTCATTGTAGAGCTTCTGAAAAGAGAGTAATGAAGGTAAATTTTGTGCTTCCATTGATCAGGGAATCCAAAACAGAAAACTGTTACAGATTTTCCTTAGCGTGGATTCTTGTTTCTCTTGAATGATCAGAGCTGAACAAAGCTTAGATTCTCACATTATTCTAACCACATTTTCTATAATAAAAGCCAGCCATAGCTAACACTTTAAATGGCTTTTAGGGGGTAGTCATACAGGATTCTCCCAGATAATCCCAGACTTGATACATAGGTTATTGTTAGCCTAAAATAGCAGTGGTGCCAACAGGAATACTGTTGTCTTCCAGTTAAACGACAGTTAAAAATCAAACCATTGTCATCTGACCCAAGCTGGACCACTCACAACCCCTAGAATAACAGGGCCCTGGCACAGAAGGTTGGATGCTCTCTGCTGGAGACCAGGATGTTTGTAGAATCTCTACCTTGGATAGTTTATGGAAGTCACATCTTTGAATTCAACTCAAAACTGTTGACTTTTTTTTTTAATACTCTACAGTAGTGCTGGCCTCCTGCTTAGGGCCATTCAACTTCCCCAGTGAGTTTGGTCATGAGAGTCCGGTGTTGACCGTTCCAGTGCAAATGGTGGAATGTGGGAGTCAGGGAAAGTTCCAGCTCCAGGAGTGTCCGCGTGAAGAAGAGGACCTGCAGGTCTCTAGGTTGTTTGGTCTTGGTTCCCACAAGAACACAGCCATAGGAAAATGATCCAGCAAGGCGGTTGTGCTTGTATTTCATCATGTGTTTGGGCCTTTTTCAGGTAAGCCGTAACTTTGAGCTGGTTGGACGGGTTAACTTGGATCAGCTGGAACAGATGAAAGAGAAGATGGAGACCTCTAGCAGCGACGAGGAGGACAAGGAAGAGGAGATGAACAGCAAGCCCGATGACGCAGGTTAGTCTCTTCCTGCCCTCTTGGTCCCAGATGGCAACTGGTGCGTCCGTGATGAGACAGGCAGGAGGTCGTGGTGGGAGCAACAGAGGGATGAGCCTCCTCGGTGAAGTCGCAGAACACACGCAGTTATGGATCACATCGGGATCGTGTCTTTGTCAACTCTTACCAGCTATAGGAATTCCACGAAACACAGACATTTTCTCCCTAATGATAGATACATGTTTAAAAAAAAAAAAAAAAAAAAAAAAAACTTACAGCAATGCTTTGTTTTTAATAAGGAAGACGGGTGTCTAGGGAATTTTTAGAACAGGGACAAGCAGGCCGCACGGTGGGTGATGCTGTATTAAGGAATGAGAATGAACTTCCAGCTGGACGCTTATTGAAAATGACAGCTGCTGGGGTGACGGTGCTGAGGTTGTGGGCAGGCTGCAGAGGACTGGAAGCCTCTCCATGTGCCCCGCTGCAGGGCCCTTCTCCTCATCCTCTTGGAGCAGTGTGTTCGCTTTGTAAAGTGGGAGGAAGAGAAACCACCTCCCTCATTCCACCGTGTAGTTACTGAAGGCACTGGGGAAGCTTGCCTGGGATTCTTGTACTGTTTGTCCAAGTTCCTGTGAGTCTATTGTTACTTCAAATCACAGGAATTTCCAAAGTGTAGTTACATGCAAATATATATTTATGGGATCTAGAGTTAGTTTTCTGTATTGTTCAACATTGAATATTGTGGAAATCCAGACTGTACACACAAGGGTACTTCAGCAAGTTCATGGAACTAAAATGTAAGTTAATTTTGGTCCACCCCAATGTGGAAATCCATGCATAGTTTTTTCATAGTACTCATTTTCCATGAACCTTTTGAAGACCCCTCCTGTAGGATTATAGATTCGAATACTTCTTTAGTTACCATAGACTTATCAAAAGCATATGGATAACATACATACAAAAAACAAACTGTCCCCGTGATGGGAAGAATGGTATTGTCAATCACTTGTGGCTGATTCGTTGTGACTAATGAGCATTTTGATGTGCCAGACTCAGTGTTGAAGGTTTCTGTTTCACCTTTTTCCCCTAATTTCATGTAATATTGAGGGCTCTGTCATTTGCCTGCCTGAATTGGGCTCCTGTTTCTGCTACTCACTATCTATATAACTTTGGATAAATTTTTTTTTGACAGGTAGAGTTAGATAGTGAGAGAGAGAGAGAGAGACAGAGAGAAAGGTCTTCCTTTTCCATTGGTTCACCCTCCAAATGGCCGCCACAGCAGGCGCACTACGGCCGGCGCACTGCGACCGGAGTGCTGCGCCGATCCGAAGGCAGGAGCCAGGTGCTTCCTCCTGGTCTCCCATGCGGGTGCAGGGTCCAAGCATTTGGGCCATCCTCCACTGCCTTCCCAGGCCACAGCAGAGAGCTGGAGAGGAACAACCGGGACAGGATCCGGTGCCCTGACCGGGACTAGAACCCCGGGGTACTGGTGCCGCAGGTGGAGGATTAGCCTAGTGAGCCGTGGTGCCGGCCTGGATAAATTTTTTTATCTTCATGTGTGTTTATAATCCTTAAGATGATAATATCATTATCTATTTCCTAAGGTTGTTGTAAGGATTTTTTTTTTTTACTTTTAAAGATTCAGGCTTCTTTGAAGTTTTTTTTAAAATCATTGACTTTGTTGACAAATAAAAATAGTGCATATTTATAACAGTCATACAATATGTTGATGTTTGGAATTATGTATAAATTGGTGAATGGTTAAATAGAGTTAATTGACAGATTCATTACTTCACATACCATTTCTAATGGTAAAAACACTAAAAATTAATCTTACAGCTATTTCACATATACAATAGGTTGTTGCTAGCTGTAGTAACCACATTGTGCTTTGGGTCTTTTAAGCATATTATTTCTGTTATCTGCAATTTTGTACCCTGTGACCAGCATCTCCCTATTACCCCACCTCCCAGCCTCTGGTAGCCACCTCTGCTTCTGTAAGTTTAACTTTTTAAAATCCCACATAGAAGCAAAATCACACACTATTTGTCTTTCTGTGCCTGGATTATTTCATTTCATATATCTCACTTCATATAATAGTTTGGGGTCATCCATGTTGTCTCAAATAACAAAATTTCCTTAATTTTTTGAGGAGGGATAGTTTGGTATTGTGTGCATATGCCACATTTACTTTAGCTGCTCATCATTGAGATTGCTTCCATAGCTTGGCTATTGTGAGTAGTGCTGTAATGAACACTGGAATGCAGATATCTCCTCCACATACTCATGTCATTTGCTTGGTCTATAGACCTAGTAGTGGGACTCCTGGATCATATGGTACTTCTGTTTTTAATTTTTTGAGGAAACTTCATACTGTTTTCCATAATGGCTGTACTAACTTACACCACAGCAAACACTGTGCAAGCCCTCCCTCATCTCCATATCCCCTCATCTTTGTCTTCTTGATAATAGCCAATCCATCAGGTGATAGTAGTAGTTGATACAGTCCCATTTGTCTTTTGCTTTTGTTGCCTATGCTATTTGACTCATATCCAAAAAAACCATGGCCCAGACTGATGCCAAAGAACTTTTCCCCTTTGTTTTCTTCTAGTAGTTTTAGAATTGCAATTCTTATGTTTAGATCTCTAATCCATTTTGAGTTGATTATTGTAGCTGTTGTGACAAAAGGATCTAATTTCATGCTTTGTCATTCTTCTGGATGTAGATATCCAGCTGTCCCAATATAGTCTATTGACAAGCCTGTCCCTACCCATGTGTGTGTTCTTGGCACCTACTTCGGGGCTCTCTATTTTGTTTCATTGGTCTGTGTGTCTATTTTGAAGGTAGTACCATGATGTTTTGCTTCTAACAGCTTTGTAGTAGATTCTGAGGTAGTGTGATGTCTCTAGCTTTGCCCAAAATAGCTTTGACTATTCAGGGTCTTGGTGGTCCCATAAGTTGTTATATAAAGATTAAACGAAATGGCACATGATATGCTAATGCAGTTCCTATAATATAATAATCACCTAACAAATGAAACCCTCATTGCAAGTGGTATTGTTGTCATTGTACAAGTAGGGAAAAAATGGCCCAGAATGTTTAAGCCCTTGGCCAACCTAAAAACAAACAAAAAACCCAACTGGAGACTGAATTCAGGTTTTCTGGCTCCAAAGACAGCACCTCTCGCACTAATAACATTTTCCCAATTCCCTGTATAGTGGAGTGTTCTTTCCTAAAGGGAATCTGGCCCTGAAATCTGTGGGTTCAGAGGCTCTTAGGGACTTGCTCTAAATCTAAAGGGCATTTGTGCAGAATATCTTTGTTTTTCCTGCTTGCTCAGTCTGCAAACTGAAGAAGCCCTGTTTGGTGGGCCAGTTTCTACAAGGTGCTTCTCATTCCTCTTCTTGACCTGCCCCCACCCTTTTACCATGATGTCAGAGCCAGAGACCACAGGATTACAAAGTGGGGGAATCTGTCTGGCCCTGAAACCCCCGACTCAGACCAAAGGAACTGATAGCCACAGTGTACTAGCTTGTTAAAAATCCCTGAGCTTGGCTGGTGCCACGGCTCACTTGGCTAATCCTCCACCTGCGTAGCCGGCACCCCAGGTTCTAGTCCCAGTCGGGGCGCCGGATTCTGTCCCCGTTGCTCCTCTTCCAGTCCAGCTCTCTGCTGTGGCCCGGGAAGGCAGTGGAGGATGGCCCAAGTGCTTGGGCCCTGCACCCGCATGGGAGACCAGAAGAAGCACCTGGCTCCTGGCTTCAGATTGGCACAGCACGCCGGCTATAGCAGCCATTTGGGGGATGAACCAACGGAAAAGGAAGACCTTTCTCTCTGTCTCTCTCACTGTCTAACGCTGCCCGTCCCAAAAAAAAAAAAAAAAAAAAAAAAAAAAAAAAAAAATCCCTGAGCATATAGTCAGCTGAAAAGGACATGGACAAATAAAATACCCTCACCATATAGGTCAATTATAGAATTACTGCTCTGATTAATAGAAACTGTAGTAGTGCATTTCTTACAAGGAAAATGACTGTCATCTCAGACGTGTGCCCTTTTGTTCTTCATTTTTTTTAAAGCATTTCACAAATAAGTTCTTCATGATGAATTCTTAACATCTGTGCACTGTTCCCAGCGTCCTCTGGTAGCGAAGGCTTTGACAGAGGGTACAAAGCTTCCTTTCTCTTCGTGATGCTCCATGGCCTGCCATTCCTCTTCAGGAAATTATTCCTCATCGGATATTATGATTTCTTTTTTTTCACCTCTAAAGCTGAGCACGCATTGAGTTTGAGGTTATTATGCGTGTGACAGAGGCGAAAACCCCTTTTCGTCCTCCCCTTCCTTGTGACTCCATAAAAAATTAATACATTTTTTTTTAAATAAAAAAGTAGAGGGAAACAAAGAGTTTGAGAGTGTGGTGAGTGTGAGTGAGACACCAGGCCAGTGTCCCTGCTTGTGCAGCTTGGCCTCTCCTGTCTCATTCAGCAGTGGCATCAGACCAGGGTGGTTTTAGTGGAAAGAACATCCTGGTCTTGGCTTCTCAGTAGAAAGTGGAACATCCACACTCATGAGTCTTACCCACGTGCTGAAGAAAAAAAAAAAAAGTCCAGTGGAGAGAAAAGAAGCGTGAGTTCCTCTCAGAGGGTGGGGGCTATGGAGGAGTAGCTTCCAGTAACATTAATGAGAATTTGCAGGCAAAACTGTCCCATCCCCCACCCCATGCTTGAAAGGGCAGCTTCCTTTGTCCTATCTCATTGGAATAAACCTAGGCTCAATTTTCCACCAAATAGGTAGATTCTTGCCAAGAAGAAGCAACCGCACACACACAATCGCCTGGGGTGTTTTTGCCAGACAGTCTGGCTTCTGGGAGTAGAGGTCAGGAGGTGGCTTTAGAGAACTATTTGAAGTGTGACAGGTCCTGAGTGGCTCCCTCCTTTGAAGATGAAACTTAGCAGGTGTTGGTGGAAAGAATAGATGACTGGGTTCGTGCTTCCGGTAGGTAAAGGAGCAAGTCACCCCTTGTTGGCAATTCTGACTTTCATCCAACACCCTCAGTTTAGGGGGCTCACGGCTGTGTAGCTACCCTGTCCCCAACCTCCTTTCTAAACACAGAGCTGGAGAGATGACTGGATATGGCCACATGGCAGGTCCTGCCTAGGAAACACAGAGCGAATTTGAAAGCGAAGAAACCAGGCATGAAGAAATCAAAATTAACCCAAGCAGAATCCTCCCCACCCACCCCCTCTCATTATGCAGTTGGGGAGGAGTCAGAAGGCATTCTGTTGATTTCTTGCCCAAGATAATCCCTGCTAAGGAATTAATGCGTAGAGCAGATGGTGCTGTCTCATTTCCAATGAAAAGAATCAAGGAAGATAGTCTGTGCAATTATTTTTAATGGCTTGTGTGGTGATCTTCTTAATTTGTGAGAAAATGTTTCATCTTTTGTTAAAACTGGCCCCGTCACATCGAGTTTTTGTGCTGAAGATTAAGGCATCCCAGAGCCCCCATCCCGTTAGCATCCTAAGGATTTTATTAGACAGAGCATTTTAACCAGGCCGTCTTCCTGGAACGTCTTGTCTGTGTGAGCCCACAGTGATCAGATACAGAAAGATGATCAGCCTCTGCCTGTGTGCTGGCACCCCCACTCCCCAACTTTGCAGTGTGGCTGCAGGGCCGTCTTGGTACTGTGGTTATTATTACTCATGTGGGCGTGGGACTCCGGGTAACACAAAGGCCATATAAGCTCACGTCTTTGGGTTTGCCAGGAGGTGCGGCCTGAAAACAATTAGCCAGCCATTCGACATTTATCAGACCGTAACGTGTGCCCAGCCCCGTGGAGGACACTAAACAACCAAGTCAGTATTTGATGTTGATAGCAGATCCACCCAGCAATGTCTACATATCCCCACTTCCGTGGATGCCACCAATTGTGAGTAGATGGTGGGCAGCTGGCAACATCCCTCGAGAACTGGGGGCTGTGCTGTCACACATTTCCGCACAAGCGAGGTTCTTTGCTTGCAGATCTCATTTAGGGCTCATCACCACCCTGTGAGATGTTGATTTTGAAATCCGTGACTGATGACCAGCATCCTAAGCCTTCTGCCTTACTTGGAACAAGGAGAAGCCCTGAGGTCTACAACACGTAACCGCGTCCAGTGACAGTTATCGGTGGCCTGTGTGCTTTGGGGGAGACAAAGAGAAACCTGTGTCACATGGCAGATGAGTAGATGTTCCCCTGGAGGTGCTGATAGAGAACATCACAGAGGGGAGAGATGAAACAGGAAACAACGGCTCCAATGCCTTTGGCATGGGCACAACACAAGACAGCAAGACAGACCCAGCATATTTGTGATGGGAGCTGTTGGGGGTGCTGAGGAGAAACGGGGAGGCTCGGGGCCTGGAAAGAACTATTCTTCACAGCGGTACAAGAGGTGCCCTGAGGAGAAACCCAAGAGAGAGTAAGGACTTTGGAAATCACGTTTACTGCGCAGCTTTGCAGGTGGAGAGAGGAGAGAGAGGGCTTTCCTAGCGGAGGTGCCCCCGTGTCGTCTGCCGCCCCCACAGCACAGGTAACACGTCTGCTTTCTCTTCACAGAGCTCATGAGGTTTTCTGACCATGGGGCTGCTGTGAGCACGGAGAAGCGTTTTCCATGTGAATTTTGTGGACGGGCGTTTTCCCAGGGCTCTGAGTGGGAGAGACACGTGCTGAGACACGGCATGTAAGTCGAGCCATCCCAGGGTGACGGGTTAGGAGAGAGGTTGGGTCCTTTCTTGGGGGAGTTGGGGGTAGGGGTGCTTCCCCTGACAGTCTCATGACCCCTGTGTGTCACCTCTCCAGACCGCTACTCAAAGGATCAGCTTCCTGCTTTTCTGTTGGTTTTTAGTATGATCAGCCAGCCCCAAGTCAGATCGAGGGAAAGTCACCTTTGGCAGTGACATATTCCACGCCAGCCCCACACGCACCTGAGCTTCCCCACCCAGTGTCCCTTTAGCTTCCATGAGCGTGGTGTTCTGGGATAGAACCTGAACCAGGTTCTGCTCCTGCTTCTATGCCTGGCCATTCCCTGTGGCCTTAATCATTCCCATGCCCACCTCAGGAAGTGAGCCAGCCTCTGCCTGCCCGCCAGGCCGCTAAAAGCATACGTGTCCAATACTTACACAAGCTCCTTGAACAAAAAAAAAAAAAAACCCTCCACCAGACAGAGAGAACTTAAGACTTGGTCCTCCTGGGGGAAAATGCCCTGAAGCCTCAGAGCATGTAACAAGCTTCCCAGGATGTGGGGTCCATCTTCAGATTGTGCTGTCTGTGTCCATGATTCATTTCTTAGATCTTAATATCTGAGATTTATTTATTTGAAAGGCAGTGAAGGCGGGAGCAGGGTGGGAGGCCCTGGGGGTGATGGTCCATCTACTGATTCACTCCCCAGTGGCCACGAAACCAGGGCTGGGCCACGCTGAAGCCAGGAGCCCGGAACTCCAGCTGGGTCTCCCTCTAGGGTGGCAAGAACTCAAGCACTGAAGCCGTTGTCCACTGCTTTCCAGGCACATTAGCAGGAAACCAGATTAGAAGAGGATTAGCCAGAACTCGAACCAGCCCTCTGGTATGGGGTTCAGGCATCCCAGGAGGCAGCCTAACCGCTGTCACAACACCCATCCTTTCCTTTTAGTTTTAATAAAGTTAGCCAACCCTCTGGGTGCGGTTGATGAGTTTAGGCATAAGACAATTCTCTATTCCAGTAGAGAAGGTGACATAAAACTATTACATTATTCTGGAAACAACATAGTATTAATCATAAGGTAGTATGACAATGACTATTTTTGTAGGTTCAAATAGCTAAAAAGATGCAGAAATATATGACCTAAGCATACCATTTAGCGCGGATAATGCACTCTGAATTGACTTACATGTCATAGCCTTTGTTCAAAGGAAACCCCAGGGCTTTTTTTTTAGGGTCAGGGAAATTAGGACACTTGAGCCTTTTGCTTAATTTGAAAAAACACGATTGCTCATCCATCTCTTCTATAAATGTTTTTCCCCCAACAGGGCATTGAATGACACCAAGCAGGTGAGCAGGGAAGACAGCCATCCCAAAGAGGCCCTGGAGGACAGTATTAAGATGCCCTCTGTGGAGGAAAAGGAAGTTGGCGAGGCGATGGGGATAGACTTTTCCCTAAAGAATGAAACAGTAGCCATCTGTGTCGTAGCTGCCGACAAATCTCTCCTGGAGAATGCAGAGGCCAAAAAAGAATAAGCATTTGGTGAAATTCCTAATCAACCCTTACTTGAACCGTGATGAGAAAGTGGGAGGGCCAGCTTGGGCTGAGAAGGGAGGGACAGACAAGAGAAGACAGAACAAAGCTGCTTTTTAGGACTGAACAATCTATTTTCAAAGCACTGGTACCTGTGTGAGTGAGTCTGTAAATTAAAGTTATTTAAATGGTTGGAATATGTGGTTCCTTTTCCATCACTACATTCTTTGTTCCGGATCTTCATCATGGAAGTTTCCTTTGTTGTGGAACGTGGAGGCACCTCGCGTGGGCACGGTGCGTTCTGTGGCGGTCTTGGACGGTAACTGGAGACAAGAAGCTCCGGGACAGAAGACTTCTCGTAGGGGAACAACTTCCTGACGCACAACTTTGAGTGCGTTTTTCTAGTTTTAATACCTTAAGCTTTTTCAAGACCTAACTGCAGCCGCTTTGGGAAGAAAAAACAAAAACAAAAACAGAACACAAAAAAAAAAAAAAACTGCTTTGCATAAAACAGTCACCTGTTTCCTAGTACCTCAAACTTAACCAAGGGAATTCTCTGCATTTGTCAGTACTACCTGCCGTCCTTGTGGCTAAATGTAGAGAGAACTGCTGGGCAAGATGGTGAATGGAGAAAAAAAAAAAGAGTTTTAAAGAAAGGAACACAAATTGTGCTTAAAATCCCCATGTGGGTTTTATTTCTTAAAATACTGTGATTTTTTTAATTATTTTAGTAAAAAACAAAACAAAAAAAAGAAACAGACTTTAATTATTAGATACCTGTTTGTGAATTGTCATCCTTTATTCCAGGTAAGCTGTTTATTAGTGTTCAACTATAATTTAGAATTTGGTAGATTCATGTGAGCTAATTTTAAGGTGATTGTGGAGTTTTGTTTGCCACATGTTTATTTTCTATCAATCTGAGTGTTACAAACACAGCACAATTCAGTTTTTCATACGAATTGGTTTTTGTGTGTGTGTTGTTACTGTTTTAATTTGGGGCAAGGGAGAGTTAGTTTTCTGTGAATAGGAATGTTTTTATTTTAAACATGGAAATAACAAAGAGGTTAACTTTCTTTTTCTTTTTATTTAACTAAAGAACCAAACTTTCGGCACAGCTATGCAGCTCGCGGGCCAGTGAGGAGGCCCTCTTCACCCTTTGTTGCTCGTCACACTAACATATTATCCGTCTCACACAGTAATTTCTGTTAGGATGGGCTGGCTTTTGTGTGTGGTTTTCAAATCTGTGTTTTTGTTTGCATTGTGTTTTGCGGGGATTTCTTGTTTATTTTGGAGGACAAGGGGGTGTGCTAGAATCCCATCCCTTTGGTGAGAATGGACAAGAAATAATGTGTATCCTACAGGAACCTGGAGAACTACTTTTTTCTTCTTTTTCTTTTTCTTTTCTTTTTTTCAAACTAGCTGCCAGCTGCTCTATTTCCCCATATTAGCTTTTTCAGGATGGAGCAGCTTAGACTAAATCTAAGTCTACATCTATCATATGTTCTGATTGTGAACAAAGGGTTTTGTTCCAAAAAGTAGAAAAGAATTTTTTTGCAGCCTAGGTTTTAGAAGCCTGTGTGTGTATGTGTGTGTGTGTGTGTGGTGTGTGTGTATGCTTGGATACATGTGTGTTATGCAGGGTGTGTGTGTGTGTGTGTGCGTGTGTGAGTCATTTGGTTTTCATGTTTTGGTTTTTTTTTTTTACTTGGAAGGGTTGGGGGAGGGGGGTGGGAAGAAAGGGAAGGGAAATTGCTGAGATGACAGTGTCCCACACAGCTTCAAATAAAATCCATGGAGAGACGTTGCATTTGTGGAATAAGTGCTTACTTGAAAAGCATGTTCTTCTTTTATTTTCTTGCTGTTAAGAACTTTTGTTTGTAGGACGTTTGTTTTAATTTAATTTTTGGGGGGGATGGGGGCCATGATGTGGAAACCTTAAAATGTGGAAAGTGTGAATTATCTAGACAAAGATTCATTTTGTGTCCATATTTGTTTTAATTGGCCTCATTTCAAATGTATTAAACAGTTCCATACCTGGATTGGGTGTTTGTAATGGTTACCAAAAAACAAACAAACAAACAAACAAAAAAAAACAAAAAAGGAAAGAAAAAGGAAAAAAAAGAAAATAATTGTGACATGCTTTTATCACTACTTTATTTTTCAAATAACATGTAAATATTGTAATCCATTGGATTTTGTTTTGCTAACCTGTTAATAAAAATATGGGACCATTATCCTTTTAACAAGGCTAGAATGTCATTTTTTTTTCTTTTTCAAACATATACCTGATATTTTGTGGCCGCACATTTTGGATGCATTATTATAATTCTGTTGACTGTAATGACATAGAATTTACAACATTTTTTGTTGTTGTTTAATTTATACAGAGGACATTTTTTTCAGAGCTTGAGAGAAGAAAATAAATAGCAAAATGATAACCTATTGACTCCAATAATCAGTGTTTCCCGAGACTTCACAAAAGATAGGGAGATCCTGAATCCTTGAAGCCAAGGGTTGAAAAACAAATAAAAAACAAAACAAACAAAGAAAAAACACAAGTAGGTTATTCAAGTTGTTTGCAACATACATTTTGTAATGAAATGTGAGAAATTAATAAAGAATTTTTTTCACATGTGTCTATGTGCATCTGTTGTAAATCATTTCCATATACAACTCCAGATACAAAAGGCAGAAATAATAGAGGACTGTCGTTCAACGCAGGCACAAGAAAGCCAATTTGAATATACACAGATATCGAAGGCAAAGGTAACAGGGTGACAGGTGAGCTGGGGCCTTAGAATGGTAGCATTTCTGCTTCGGGTGCTTACCATTAACTGAGGGGTGGTTTTCCATCAAAAATGTGAGACACAGGAATGCATGAAGCTCAGAAGGAGGAAGTGCCAGGGATTAACCATGGTCTGGGGACCCTGAGCCTGTGAGTGCAGTCATTTTAAACTCACTGCAAGTCACAGCCAAGGGAGAGAATCCGCTTCCGTGTCACGACCCTCCTCCCATGAAAGCCTGAGCCACAAACTCTCTGTTCACCCTGCACCAGTGATTATCACCATTACTCTCTGAGCTGCCCTGTTAATTACAGGCAGAATTTACAGCCGTGAAACCTCGAAAAAGTATAAGTTGAAATCATCAGTGTAAATTGTTCAAGTCAGAACTGACTTGCGCAGTCTGCCTCTCCTGGCGTTAGAAGAACGGCTCGTGGGTAATTTGCTCAGGGTTCCTTCTAAACACTTGTTCTCCCTCCCCTTCATTTATCCCCTTCACCCAAGGAAAGCTGTTACAAGACTTCCAAGAGTGTGTACAACATAATGAGAGGAAACAGAAAATTAGATAAACAGCAATCAAGGGGCAAATGAGGAGTGAGTAGCAAACTAATGGTAGGAGAAAGAGGACCAGCAATGCTTTGCGTGAGGCCACACACAGGCCACACGTTAGGCTCTGTGCTTGCCTTGCAGGCAAGTGGAAAAAAGGCCCAGTCGATAAGAATCACCTTCTTAGCGTTTATTATCAGAGGCTCAGGAACTACTCAACCTTTCCTGGGTCTGCAGGTTGAGTTTGTGTTTAATCCATACTCCCACATTGTTTTACATAAAGGAGATAAAATGTATCAATGAATTAGTCATACTAGAGGCTGCAACAAGGCCAGGCCTGGAATCTCTGGGTTAGCACAGTGGAGGTTTGATTCTTACACAAATTCCCAGTCGGGGTGCAGGGGTGCCCTTTCACCTGGTGGCTCAGGAACCCAAGCTCCATCTGGTAATGTTCCCACGTCTACATGTGAATCTTGGGCCAATGCTGAGAGCGGGGAGGTGTTCCACCTGCTCAAGTCCCTGTTCGGTCAATAGCACGTATCTCTTCCAGTCTCATTTCATGGGCTAGACTTGATCACTTGGGGCTGAGGATCGTGTAATTGCATCTATGAAATGTGCCCAAAGAACACACGAGCCCACAGCTTCTCTCACAATCAGGAACTGAGAGACGTGCTCATTAGGACACAGGGCAGGTAGAAACACTTGTTCTTTGGAAAGCATCAGATGCTGATTCCATCATCCATATTCTTAGCCAACATTTTTGACCAAACCACTGGTGCTAACCTCTGTATGCCAAATAGGATAGACATGGCACACAGCTCACAAATAGAATAGAGATGCTATTGACAGCTCACAAATAGAATAGAGATGCTATCCTATGGGAGTCTACCATTAGGGATGCTAGTGCTTGTTGGGCCCTTAGTTTGTTGCGTGCAAGACTGTGACCTCTTCACCTCTGATAATGCTGGCAACTCGGAACCATGACCTTGACAGAGTAATTTTTCTGACCATCTAAAGGAATACATTTGATTTAGGGAGGCAAATAAGATATCGGTTACACATAGTAAGTCTTCAGCCCTAAGCTTGACAAAAATTGTTCTAGGTTATGTTCTTGCCTTGCAGCTATCCTTGTTGATCTGTTACGTCACAGCTCTCAACGGAAGTGTGTCTTCCTCTCACTTGTACAGAAGTGCCAAACAGCGTAGTTTTAAGGGTAGGAGAAAATATTTATCTGAAGAATTTATTTTAAAAGTTCAACTTTGTAATTAATTAATGTAGACAATATTCGAGGAGACATCAACATAAAGTCATTCTAAAGCCTCTGATGTCCACATGTTGGAGTTTTTTTCACCACTCTCATTCCTGGACACTTTTTACATGTTTGCAATCATCATCAACAATTTCATGACTTGCTTTTCTTCACTTAATAGTATAAATATTTTCCATGTTGCTATAGAGGCTTCATAACTAGAACTGTTCAGAGCTATATAACATACTGAATGGAAATACTTAACTATAATTTATGGCTCCTGAATGTTACTGAACAACCAGATGGGGGTTTTTTTGTAACTTTTGCAATATTATAAATAACAATGTAGCCAACATCTTCTCACCTGTGGCTTCCTTAACTACTCCGCTTTTGGATAATTTTGCTAGAAAAATAATTCTCAATGGTACAATTTCAAATAGGTATTATCAATTTATACCAATGGCAGCCATGAATGGAAGTAATAACTCTTGGACATACTAAAGGGAGTATAGAGAGCATCGTCATGAATGTGGGTTCCAAAGTTAAACCACCTAGATTCAAATCCCAGCTGGTTCACTAAATGTGTGGTCTCAGGCAAGTTACAAACATCCCTTTGTGCTATAGTTTCTTTATTTATAAAATGAACATGACAGTATTTGGCCATGCATCATGAACCAGCCATCAAGGCATCAGCAGGATTGCTTCTTCTGGAAGGCTCTGAGAGGGGACCCCATCTCATGCCTCTCTCTCTGCTTCTGGTGGCCAGCGCAAATCCTGGTGTTTGGGGGCAGTGGGATGGGGGATATAAGGAGAGGTGGGATGAGAATGGTGTGACTGTAGTTTAAGCGTGTCCTGCCCCCCAAAGTGTTCATTGCTGAAATTTCATTGTGAAGGTATGAGGAGGGTAGAAATGTAATCCAACTCCAGCATTTAGAGTTGGGGACTTTGGAAGATGATTATGGTCAGGTGAGGTTGTCAGGATGGAAGCCTCATGATGACGGTCAGTGATCAAGGGACAGAGAACAGGCGAGACACATGGGCACACACTCCCTTTCTCTTGTTGCCTGACGCTCCATGCCACTTCGAGATTCTACCAGTATGAAGACTGTCACCAGCTGAGGGCCCTTGGGACTCCGGAACCGTGAGCTAAATAAGCCTCTTTACTTTGTGACGTTGCTCAGCCTTAAATACTTGATGATAGTAGCACAGAACGGACAAGCGCCCGAGCCTTATGGCTGCATTCCCCCACCTCTGCCTCTGACTTCACATCACCTTCTCCTCTGTATCTTCTAAGGACACCAGCTATTGGATTTAGGACCCACCCTAATCCAAGATGATCTCATCTCAAGATCCTTCATAACATCTGCAAGGACTCTTGTTCCAAAATAAAGTCACATTCACAGACTCTGGGCAGACAGATCTTTGGAGAGGTCACTGTTCAATCATTACAACCCTCCTAACAAACATATGAAGTGAGTACAATTATTAGCTTCATTTTCAGTATTAAAACCCTTAGTGAAAGGTTAAATAATTGCCTGAGATTCACGGCTTAGAAGGGGTGGAGCTCTCCAGCAGCCAAAGTGCATTCTCTTAACCACTGCACAACGCACTTGGCTTTGTCTGACTCATTTCTGTCATACACAGAACCTGGCCCTGAATCAGGACTCAATAAATGTCTGTGGAAGAAATGGATGGATGGATGGATGATGAAATGTGCGTCTCAGCCCCACCCCCACCCCAACTCAGTCTTTCAGTAGCTGAGACACATTGCTGTCAGATGCAGCTAGCCTTTTTAAATTCAAATATATTCTTGTTGATACCAAGTGTTAGTTCTCATCTGATTTGGCATCAATGTTACATTTTCTTTCAGAGCTTGATATTGCTTTTTTAAAAATCTAAGTAAAAATATGCGGCTTGGTAGATGGGAAAAAAAAAGTCTTTGTCTGCAAGTCCAGGCTCTGTCTCAGGGACAACACCAGAGAACTGAACAGCAGCCCTGGCTCCGAGGCGGTCACCTTGACCACAATCCTCCTCTCTTGTCCAGAGGCAGAGAGGAGATGGATGGGCAGGTCCCCTGGGTCTGAACATTAGAAAGTGGTGGTGGCTGCCCCTGGAGTAGGCGGAACAGAAGCCAGCATTGGCTGTGAGGAGGGTGAAGATGCATGGCCCTAACAGTAGATCCAACTATGTCAAGCTTACTAGTGAAAGGAAGCAGGCAAGAATGGGCCAGTAGCTCAAGACAGGGTTGGAGGAAGATGGTTGTTTTAAGAATACAAGTGATTTGGACGTGTTTACTGCACTGAAGGGAAGAAGCTGTGTCAGCCCCAAGGAGGTGACAAGCAAACCCTCACTGGAATCCAGGACATGCTACACCAATTGGCCTGGATGATGGAGAGGGGACTAAGAGCAAAGAGAAAGTGCTGAGCTCCTGGTGATGAGCCTTGACCTTCAGGTGGGAGATGAGTAGGTGGATGAGTTGAGAACTGGAGCTGCTGTACTGGGGCAGGAGGTGGGCCCAAGGCGTGTGGAAGAGAACGGAGTGGAGGGAAAGGCAAACTGAGCAGGAGTGCGAGCAGTGTTCTCCCAGAGGGCCTGGAACAATCAGTCGTTTGCTAGGACTTCCTTCACAACGGCCCTCGCCACACACCACCTCCAGGAGTCCGGGGGGACACTTCCTTTCCCCGCCTCCTTAATTATCTGGCTTCTGGGATTAGCTCTGGGAAGCAAACTTGCCTCATTTCTACGCACAATTCCTCCCTGAGTTTGCGCCCATTAATGAAACAGCTTAGTTTGGTTTAGCTAACTGCATGCATGACTTCCAAAAACCACATCACAATGTGGGAGGAATGCAGCCTGGAGCAGCGCTTCAGCAGCTTAACCGCATTGTTTAGGGAGCGGAGCTGGGCAGCAGCAGTGCCTCCGAAATCCATTTAAGATGTGTGAAAACATGAGATTGAAATTCTGACCTGCCCCTGAAGCTGAAAAAGACTACGCTGGCGGACTATTGGGAAGACCTCGGATGCAGGCCTGGGCCCATCTGTGTCTCCCCAAGACTCCAACTCC